TTTATTGGTCAGCAAAATAACCTTTAAAAACAGTATTGGACAAGAATTTAATGAGAAATGGGAGGATTATGTTACTAAAGGATTGGTGAGATCCAGCTGGGGACACGGAAAAATAGAAATCCTGAAAAATTATTTCTCTTCTATGGGAAATGCTAATGAGTGGTAACACTGCTCCAGTCTAAGCCACTCTTTTGGTCATGTGACAGAGAATAGAGCACACAATACAGTAGGCAGTCTACCCTGTGCTTCTCTGTTCAAATGTATATAGATAGGCACATGGTTAGTAGACACATGTACATAAACACGGTGTTGTGCAACTTAGTGTTGTGCATCAGTTACACCCTTTCCTGCAGTGCACTATTTGTAAGTTACAGATGGATACAGTGATCAGTGCAAGCAGTTTTGGGTGCCTCTTGAGTGGTGCATGTAACACCTCTGCTACAGGAGCTGCATTGGATGTCAATGAGCTTCCAGGTTCAATTTAAGATCTTTGTTATCACCTTTGAAGTCCTTATGGCATGGGATCAGGTTATCTGAGGAACTGTCTCATCCCAATCACATTGTCCGGTCCCATCTGATCCTGCAGGAAGGTTATGTTGCAGATCCCATCAGTTAAAAGAATTTCAACTGGTGGGATTCAAAATGGCAGCCTTTTCTGCGGTTGCACCTGCTCTTTGGAATATCAGCCCCAGAAAAGAGGTGGAGCCCCATTCTGCTGGCCTTCCAAGGATGTGTGTTAAAGACCCTGCTCTGCCAATTGGCATGGGGGTTGAAGATTGTGATTCAACTCTGTGGTTGGTTGCTGATTTGAGGGTTATTCCTTCACCTTTTTAATATTTTAATTTTAACATTCTTAATTCTATTTTACTTCCATTTTTATTTATGTTTTTATATCACTTTTTATGTTTTTATTATAGATAATCCAGAGTATGTGAAATGGACGGTATAGAGATGTGAAAAATAAATATAATCCAAGGAAAAAGCAGAAGACAGAAGTAATGTAAATATGCACTCCCTAATTAATCCCTACAGAGAAAGTACACATAGTTAACATGTTATTTCATTTCAAAGAAGAAAATAAGAGACCTAGTTTCTGATTAGAGGATTAGGAAGAATTCCCAAAGTCAGGCTCTTTGGGGTGGCCCTATTTTATTTATTCTTTATGTATATTTTAAATTGGTATTTTTATATTTATTCTTTCCCACAAAGTATTGTAAAGAAATTATATAAAGGAAGGTTAGAATCTTGCTTTTTGGTCAGCAAAATAATAGAAACATTAATAGAATTGGTCAAATTTTGGGAAGAAGGGGAGTTCAAAAATGGGCCAGACCAGAGAAGATTGGGGCTGCAGAGAGAAAAAAAAAATCACTTCTGAGATTTTATATTCTTGGAAAAAGAAATTGAAAGTCGTTCTTTTTTTATGTTTTTGTTTTCTTTTTTCTAAATGACTTTTTGCACATTTCTCTCTTCCTTTCTGATTGTTAGTTTGTTGGTTTTTATTTGCCTGTTCTATAAAAAAATTAATAAATTATAACAGTATTTATAAAATTAATAAAAATTAATAAATTATAATAGAAGACAATCCTCTCTCAGAGAGAGAGAGTTTGGTAATGGCTTGGGATACTTGTTACACTTCATTTAACATGCCGCTACCCTCGCTCCAATAGCCCAGAATAGGAGGAATAACCCATATAAACCCAGAATAAGCCAGTATATGAAGCAATCCTCTGCTTCCCAATGGAAATAGGGGCACTTCTAGTAAAGAAGTTGTAAAGAATTCCATAAGCCATGCTGTGCATGTTTTTTTTGCCTTATTTTTATATTATCCTTTCTGATGTCACCTATATGCTTTTATATTTTAAACTTATTTATCCTAAGTACAACCCATGGACATTGCTGACATTGCTTCACATGTGAAGCTGAGTGTGTACTGTATATAAATTTTGCATACTGTAGTTCAGACAATGATATTTACCCAGCAGAAAAGTTAAATAGTTGGAGACATCATTACAGCAAAATGCAGATGTTTTTGAAAAAGAGCCTGAAGCTGCTGTTTGCCAGGTAAATTTAACCCTTTTGAAAGACTTAAGCGAGACTTCTGTTTTTTTCTCTCTTTCTGTTAACTTTCCCACTTAATTTCTCTATCCAGTTATGTTCTTGCTTCTTTTTTTCCCTTCTAAGTGTAACTTTTAAAGCTCATTTTTAGCCTAGTGCTACAATCTACAATACTGTAGTCAAATAAATGGGTACATATACTGGTATAAGTAAAATCTCCTCCTCTATTTCTACTAGACTAGAGGAAAAGAGGGGAAAACTTGTACCGTAGGTATGTGTGGTTTTTAATGGGTGAAAAAAGTCTGTGGGTGAGAAAATTGTTGACATATGTGGATCAATTACTTATGTAAGTAGGCTAACTAATTTTACAGACAATTGACTTTTTTTATCCAGTTGAGTATTACAACATTTTTATAGTGCCCTAATTTCTGATTACTCAGATATGTAATGTCAAATATACTGACATTTAGAAAAGCCTATTTGTGTAAAATAATATAGATCAGTGATGGCGAACCTTTTAGAGACCGTGCCCAAAAACTGCCCCCTGCCCCCGCTCTGTCTCCCGTCCTGCCTGCTCCGCCCCTGCCCGCCCCCTGCCCCACCCACCCGCAGGGCCATGCACCCCCTCCTGGGCCCGCCGCAGATCGCCTGCAGCACCATGGCAGCCACACCCTCCACCCACACCCACCAGCATCATCTGCACGCTACAAGGTGCGAGGATGGAGTCTTGTCCCTGCTGCCTGGCTATGTCCTTGGCTGCGCTGCTCTGTGCAGGCTGTGCCCAGGGGCAACTCTCCTCCAGGGGGGCTTCTGGTGAGGAGGGGACCATGGGGGGGAGGTGGGGTTGGGGCGACAGCACGCGTGCTCACAGAGAGGGCTCCGAGCGCTGCCTCTGGTACACGTGCCATAGGTTCGCCACCACTGATATAGATAATACATCTGTTTCAATTAGTTATTAATTCAATGAAATATGTGCTTATTTTTGTCCTAGAGCAGGGGTGTCAAACTGCCGGCCCACAGGCTGGATGCATCATAGCAAAACTACGCCCATCCCATTGCCGGCGATGGGAAAAAAAGTTATGATACATTGTGACATGTCACGTAACATTGCAAGTTTGACACCCCTATCCTAGAGTATGTCTTCTGACAGATATATATGCTCACAGATAGGTGTACATTTGAACAAATTACATATATGTAAGCAGGGCTTTTTTTGTCATAGAACACCCAAAATGGAGTTCCTGCACCTTTTTGGGATGGAACCTTGTAGGGTAGGCAAGGCGGGTTGTATGATGTGTGTGAGTTCTGGCACTTTTTTTTTTTTTTTTACAAAAAAAGCACTGTATGTAAGTGTGTGTGTGTAATCTTCAAGTATGTTTTCAGCTAGAATTGGCAATTGAGGAGGGGAAACTGGGCACGGCAATGAATTTTTGTCTGTTTATTTGTATTTGCCTTTTCTCAATATACAGTTGTCTTTCTTTTAGCAATGAATCTAATAAAGGTATAGCAACATAAGACTTAAGATATCTATCTAATCTTTATTCTATTTCCCTTCATACGTAAGTCTTTATAGATTTACCTAATAATTTATGACATCTTATGCTTGTCTTCTAATAATATTTATTTCTAGCCTTTATTTTTATACATAACTCAAGGTGGCAAACACACCTAATTCTCCTTCCTCTTATTTTCCCCTCAACAACTACAGAAATAAAAGACAAATGTGACATTTCTGGAATGCCCTTGTTAGAAGTTAAAAAAAAGTCTCTGATCTGCCTATTAGGCTGATAAGGGAAATCTTTTATGTCAATACTCCAGTTTGATTCCCTCATTATAAATCCATAGGAAAGAATCTATACAGCTGAAAGCAATCTTCCTTTCCTTTCTCCAGATTTCACATGACCTCAGGCCAACATCCTAATATACACATCCAGCATGCACTTCAGAAACAACACCCAGGGCATGATCTGCACATGTAAACATCAAAGCCCACTTGTCATGATATATTCCTTTACTGGTAAGCCCCTAATGATGTAGGCTACCTTTAACCACTGTCTATGTTGAACGAATAAAAAATACTTTACTTCCAGCAACTGCCATTTGTGTTTATTGACGACTCGGCTCAGAAAATCAGACCAACAACGTTCTTCTGATAAAGGTGAATATTTGCAGGTTGGGCTTGAAATGAGGGATCCATGCTTCTCTCTTGAGCTTGTTTTCTTGCAGATGTTTCGTTGCCAAACTAGATAGCATAATCAATGCTAAAAGGAGTGGGATTTGCTCTCAATTTATATTCTCACAGGGAAAGCCACTAGAATGTAAATTGAGAGCAAACCAGACTCCTTACTAGCATTGATGTTACCTAGTTTTGGGTAATGAAACGTCTGCAAGAGAGCAACCAAGCTCAGAGACTAGCACGGACCCCCTCAATTCTCCTAACAGCTCTCTGAGGATGATTGGGGTAGAGTGAAGATTTCAAAAGAAATCTTGCAGTACAATGTGATGGGATTGGATACTTAAAACAAAAGTGCCATTTTTTTGCAAAGGTAGCAAAATTCATTTCTATGTATCAATTAGGATTCCCAAGGACGGGCGGGAGGCAAAATTGTATAAAGTACACCTAAGGGTGCAGCAAAGGTAAGTTTTGTCAATAAATCCATTCGGAACACCAATCTAACTACAATTATTTAAATTGCAGTTCAAACGTTCACCGATCTTGCCCAAGCATCCAGTAAAATAGCGACCCCACCTCTAGTCGCCACCCGGAAGTTAGAATTACTAGCCGTTCTTATTACTTATGCGGCACGTTATCCCCGCATTCTCACATTTGTGGAAAAGCGCATGCGCAAACTGAGCTTCTTGCACACCGCGGCGGACGCGGTGTAAATCTGGAATCACAAGGCCCATGAGGCGCATGCGCTTTACTTTATTTACAACTTCTCTTGCGTTTAGGCGCGCGCGACTGCCGAGCACGAGCATATTGTTTTCGCAGTGCCTCCGCATGTCTCCGTGCACGGTTCCGTTCCTTCCTGGAGCGCATGCGTTTCTGATCTACGAGCGCGGAATTGGCGTACGCAGTCCGCATGTGCTTAGAGAAAATTGGTTGGTGGAATTAGACATGTAGCTTGTTACTGTGTGTCTATAAGTGACTCAGCCAGTTGAAAGGATTGGGTGAACAAAACCAGGAAGAGTGTGTCTCTTCTAGCTGTAATCGTTTGGCTCGTCAGCCATTTTCTTTGACTTTGTCCTATTCAGGCACGAAACGTAGTATTGCTCCTACGATAAACATGATCCGTTTTGTATGTTACAGCACACTGCATCAATTCGTTATATTTGGTCATAAATATAATTGAATACTATAAATATGCATACATCTGGATTGTACAACTGCAATGAAAGCACTTTTTATTGTCATCTGGTAATTGATAAGATATACAGAAGTAAACTATAATCACTAAAAGAATATCTAATTTGCTCAGACCAGTTAAGTATAAAGAAATGTTGACCTTGTATTTTGATGTGCTTTTAAAACAAGGTTCTTAGAAGCTGCAGAATTTGGAAACCTGGCACCTAAGATAATTTCTGCAACAACTGGAAACGATATGGTGATCAATCCACAGAAAATGAATGTATCAAAAATGGATAAACATTTGTAGCAAACCCGTGATATTAAAATGATACATGCATGATGAGAAGATCACACAAATGCCACCATTATCTCTTGCATCCTGTCAGCTGTGAATTATATATGTGGACACTAGCCTGATAACATGAGCATTATTTGTCTCCTTTACAGATATCCAAGAAAAGGATTACACCTGCAGGACATGGTTTTATTCAATACAGTACAGCTTTCTGATCAACATACCAAGACATAAAATAACCACATACAAAAGCAGTTGGCTAATTTGTGATCCAAGATGCTTTGTGAAAACAGCTTATCCCGACTATGGTAAAGTGGATGTTGAAGACTTCATTAAATACTTTGTACTGCATGCAATTCAAAGTAATAAATACAACATTTTATCAGTATTAGAGAGAGGAAGATTAGGAGCATATCCTAATCCAGTGATACTAATTGGCTTGAGAACTACTAAAAAGGTTCAGGTTAAGTTAAATCATGATTTAACCATGGTTAAATATACACATCTTGCCAAGTCATCATACTTGTATCTTTTTGTCGTGGTCAGTAGCCATATATATTTTCCCTGTTAAATTTCAGCATGGCAGGTATGAATTCAGGGACTATATATCACTGGATTTCCTTAAAAGAAAGAGGACAAATGTAAGATAAGTGAAAATCAGAATTGCATTTTTTTCAAGTGTAAAGAAATGTTATTTTATTTTAGGTTATTGTTCACTAGAAATAATCTTTCAATGTAAAAAATGACAAATTTCCAGCAAATTTTGGCAATGTACAAAGACCTGTTCAGAGCTCTAACTTTAAGTTCTCAGTTATGCAGCTCTCACAGCTCTGCAGTAGCACATCTACTATTGCTTATTAATACTTAATACAAATTTCTACTCCATTTTTCTTGAATTCCCCTTTTTTTCTTCTGTTGAATTTTGTCTGAGTCTTGGAAACTGCCTAGATAAGTCCCTGCAATTTTCTTTTTTTCAGAATTGGCTTGCTAATGCCTTCTAAAGGACTGGCCCAAGGTCACCCAGCCAACTTTGTGCAAAAGTTGGCACTACAACCCCCGGTTTCTAGCTTGATTCCTTAACTTCACCAAAGGGGCATGTAGTAGTATACAAAAAGAAAAAAAACCAAGTTAAAAACATTGGATCAATCTGTTGCTCTTATTGTCTTTCACGTTGATTTATATCTCATTTTTCTATCCAGGGAGCAGGTAAAAAGTTAAAAAAAAAACGTATTTAAAAATGCACTCGCTTATATTGTGGCCCAACAGTTATCCATCAATGGAAATTTATTTCTTTGGAAGTATAGGTAGTCTTTGACTGACAACAGTTTGTTTAGTGACTGTTCAATGTTACATCACTGAAAAAAGTGACTTATGACAGTTTTTCTCACTTAGCATCTCCACGGGCATGTGATTTACATTCAGATGCTTGACAATTCACATTTATGATGGTTACAGTATCCTGAAGACATGGATTCTCCTTTTGCTACCTGACAAGCAGTCAATGGGGAAATCAGATTCACTTAACATGTTACTAATTTAACTGCAGTGATTCACTTAATAAAAGTGGCAAGAAAAGTTGTAAAATGGGGCAAAACTCACTTAAAGGATTTCTCACTTAACAACATAAAGTTTGGGCTCAATTGTGGTCGTAAATTGAGTACCTATATTGGCTTGCCTAAAGCTATCTTTGGCTGATCAGTTAAGAGATATCTTTTCACCCAGGCATTTATAGGATAACTATGCTAGAATCAAGATCACTTCTTAACTTACTTGACTTGTTTTTTCCCCAAGAATTTTTAAATCAATTTATTATTGACATTGATAATGCTTTGTTTTGTATACTGTCTAAATTACAAGAGAGAGAAAGGCACTATGCTTCCTGAATAGTTTTGTTAGAAGAAAAAAAAATCCCGTGTTACAGCTTCTCACGAATGCAAGGTACATGTATACTTTACATTATAAGGTACTTCACTTGTCCTCTGCAACGGAGCTCTTTACTAGTCAATACAATAATTAAAACTCAACAGGTTAATATATGGACTTCGTTAATCCTTCTTGCGCTTTTTACCAGTAAAGATTAAATCGATGTAAAGCCGAATAATATGGACGGCTGGCAGCAAAAATGTAATCAAATTAGAAGGTGAAAAGATCAAGGCTGGCGGCCATTTTGTAAAACGGATCCATGTCACTCAGATAAGAAAAAAAAAATAACGGCGAGAGAAAGACAACCGTTACTCGCGCGCGGCCGTCTTGGCATTGGCCAATCAACTTTAGTCTTTAAAAGAATGAGCCCTACGGTCACAGCGCTCGCTAGTCCACCCAATCAGCAGGCGCTACACGTGGGGTCCCTTGTACGATCCCGCGCACGTCGGGAACGAGGACTACAGCCCCACCCAATCACTACCTGCCGCCTTCTCCACACCCCTTTTCCCCCTCCCGCTCAGAAACGCTGTGGTGCGGGAGGGGGGAACGCGCGCGCGCGCGCGCAGAAGAAGCCAATCAGCGTGCGCGCCGAGGAATCCTCGCGCCGCTGCCTCCTCGCTCTATTCCCCCTCCCACCTCACTCCCCCCGCCCGCGCGACGTTGCTGTTGCTCCCCACTCGCTCCCCCCTCCCTTCCCGACCCCCCCTCTCGCCGAGCTGAACCCCCTCCCCCGCTCGTTACCGCCGCCATGGACCCGAGCAACTGGAGCAGCTTCATCTTCCAGGTAACCCCCCCCTTTTCCTCCACCTTCCCCCTCCCTTCTCCGCAAAAAAAGGGGGGGGGAGCGCGAGCAGGGAAGGACAAGAGAGCTCAAGCTGGAGCTCTAGGCTCCTACTCACACCCTCCCTGCCCCGCCCCTCCCCTCGGGAATCTCAGCGGGCGGGGGCCCTTGCGCGCGCGGGCCAGCAGGGCGCACTCGGCACGCGCTCCCCCCCCACCGTCCGCCTCGCGCTGCCCCAACGGTCACCTCCCTCCGCCCAGCGTTGCCTTGCGCTCCCTCTACCCCCTCGTTCTCTACGCTCGCTGTGCCCAGCCCCTCGCGCTTCTCTTCCCCCCCCCCCGCCAACGGTCACCTCCCTCTCGCGCTTGCTCTGCCCAGCCCCTCGCGCTGCTCCCCCACCTTTTTTCTCTGCCAGTTGCTGCCTCGGTGCCTCCTCAGCCCCGCTCCGAGGGAGCTTTCTTTCCAAAATGCCCCCCAAGATAGGCACGCCTCAGTCGCCTCGCCCTACTTTTGCCACACGCACATAATCCTCCCCTTTCCTGCTATCTCCACACTCCCACCACTCTCTGCCAATATAATGCCTCTTATCCATGTTGGCTCCCTGCTTGTCAGGCCAGTATCCCAGGGGTTTCCACCCTGCATTAGTTTGAACTTGGCCACCCATGCTCAAAAGGTGCTTCCTTCTTATTTTCCGGTCCCCAGTATTTGCTTACCCTCAAGCGCATGCAATTACAGTAGGAGGTGGCTATGGACTACCTTCTGGTGCCAACAGGTGTAGTGTGAATTTTCCACCTGTTTCCTCTCTTTATGTTTTTTGTATGAAATCTCAAGGGTAGGTGGTCTCCTGCCATAGGATAATGCAGAAAAATCCCCAATTCTTCTATCTGACCTAGTAATAGAGAGCTATGGACATAACTAGTAAGAGGCATATTTACTCCATTTATTTACTTTCCAACATTTTGAGTGAATTGGTGTGTGTGGTCAAACCCCACCCCAGGTGTGTTGCCTTGGACTTGCCTTAACATGCTGTCCTTTCTTCACTCCATTGAGTTGCCTTAATTTGTTCCCCCTTTGTAATTGTTTAAACCTGTTTTAGTCCATTCCCCAACTGTTTCAAACATACATGTAAATCCTAGATTCTTCCATCTTGCCAATAAATAGTTAATATTATATAAATAGATGTAGATATGTCTAATAAGAGGTACATCTCTTCCATTCATTTACTTCCCAGTGTTTTGGGAGAAAATTTGTACATGGTTCAGAGGCCTCAAGTCAGTTGATTGTATTTGCTTCAACATGTCTTTTTTCCAACTTCTTTTAACTATTTGTTTTAAGTTGCTACCACTTTTAATTCTTTGAACATCAGTTTTCAGTGTTTATCAGCAAAGACTAGCCCCTTCCTGTTGTATGCTCCTCCAATGGAAGTGCTGTATTTCTTTCCAGTACCTTTTCTTTCTGATCAGAAATTTCTCTGGAGAAGACAACCAAGGCCTTCTATTTTTCAGATAGGCCACCACTCAGTTTCAAACCACTTTTAAATAATTCTCCTTTAAACTGTCTTCTTAAGTTTCATACACTATACCTTAACTTCATCTGCAGCTTTATCTTCTCTTTACCCCATCATAGCCTTATTCTATGCTTCAGAACAGTGACTGCCTATATCTGTTGTTACTATTTATCTTTTCTGGTCTTTCTTTTACAGAACATTTTCATACAACTCTAGTATTCTATATAAAATCTCAATTTATTATGGCTGCAAACGTAATCAACTATCTTTTTTGATATACTTTTCATGTGATTTGGATTTGAATGTTAATTGATGTATTTAAATAATGTTATACGTAGTTTTTTTCTTCTGCTATTTTTTCATTTCCAACTCAATTGCTCAATGTATTCATAATTTGTCCATACTTGCATACAGTGCTTAAAATTACTTAGGTCAGATGAAGAAAAGTTTGAGCTTTCTCCCAATCCAAAAATTCAATATGGCTGACATTTTCAAAAAATATTTTTGTTAAAGAAGCTTTTATAAGGTAAAAACAATTCAAATTTAAAAAGAAATTAAGGTAAAAGAAAAGTGATAAATAAATAGCAAAGAAAAAAAATCAAAGAAAGAAAATGTTATAAAAATGGTTTCTGATCTTTACATTTGTATTTATACTTTATCCTCTCTAAGAGACATGCTGCTATCTGGTTTAAGATATTTTATTTTTTATAATGAGCTCTTCCAGTTTAAATCAGTTTTCCTGTGGAATCACTAAATTATTTATCTCCATTGGTTTTTGAATTTAACTCTTGCAGTTGCCTGTCATAAGAATCATTTTTTTATTAAAATTCCCTGATCTTTCTTTTGTTTTTTTAGCAGAGTCATACTCAGAATCCTCTACAGGTCGGGACTGAAATCCAGTCAAGATTTTTTGCTGCTCAGGGCTGTAGTCAAAGTCCCTTCCAGGTGAGCTATTTAGGCAATAAAGGAAAATCAAGTGATTCTTCGGAAAACAATTCCTAGAAGCAACTGTGTCTCACTATTGCAGATTAGATTTTATGTATATCAAAAGTAACCGTACCCTTTGCAAGACTTATTGAAAGTTGTTGCTGTTGGTAAAAATGAGTTTTATAATAATTTAGTCATTATTTGAAGTCACTTTCATTTTGATACCATTGGCTCTGAAATAATGATTTGGCCAAGACTAATAAAATTTGTGAGAGTCAGTTTAGTGTAGTGGTTAAAACATCAGGCTAGAAATTAGGAGCTGTGAATCCTAGTCCTTCCTTAGGCACAAAGCCATCTGAATAATCTTGGCCTAGTCATTTCCCGCAGCCCTAGGAAAGAGGCAGTGACAGACCACTTCTAAAAACCTTGCCAAAAAAACTGCAGAGACTAATTCAGACAGTCTGAGTATTGGACAGGATTGAACAGAAAAACATGTTTGTACTATCGTTTTGGATTTGTTCTGCTTTTTAAAGTAAAGATTAAATTATTCAATAAGGCTTAATTCCCAGTATAACTGCACCCTAAGATTTCCTCATGATTATTTAAAAATAAAGCCAATCTGAATAAAAATGTTATTGTATTTCTGGAAAATGCAAAACATTTGATGCTGACAAATATCTGACAGATGAGTATTGCTCAGCCCTAGGAAAAAATGCCTCTGTGTACTTACTATCCAAACTTGGTTTGAGGTGATGTATCCAAAAACACAATACATCTGGAATAGCTTCATCACGTAAGTCTTTCTGTCAATTGGAGCTTCGTTTACCAAGCAGGCATAAACATAAACATCCATGCCTTTACTGCTTAGTGTAGATAAATAGCATGAAAAACAGGTTGCTATCTTTGAGATGCCAAATTTTTTCAGGGATAAGTCGAAGTCTATCCACCTTTTCTCTTCATTTTGTGGCTTGATTGCTTTGGATTTTTATTTGTATCCCACAAGAACAAATAGCAGTTTTCACCCATGTTTGACACTATGGAAAGTGGATTTCTCTCTCCCCCCCCCCCCGTTACAGCTGTAATTCTGAAAGACTTAGGATTGTTTATCTTACCATTTTGCCACCTTTTGCCATGGACACAGAAGCAAGTGAGATTGGCATAATCTATGTCATTAAATTGTTTTGCTTTTTAAAGATATTTAAATATATTTTTTCTTTATAAAGCACTAAAACCCTACTTGTTAACAATATAACTAACAGATCATCTTCTGAAATTGTAGGTCAAAGATTATGTAGTGTTTTATGATCATTTTTTTTCTAAGGCATGTTACCATATATCATTTGATGACAAATAATATTTCTTTGCATGTTTCTTGACTATAACTTGCTGAACATATTGAGATTTATTTCCAAATAAAATTAATAGGATTTGTTCAAAGTTACGAAAAAATGTCTGACCTGGACACTTACAGTGCATTCAGAAAGTATTCAGACCTCTTCACTTTTATCAATTTTGTTATGCTGCAGCCTGATTCTACAGTTGTTGAAATTTATTTTTTTTCTCATTAAATCTACACTCAGTATCCTATAATGATAAAGTTAAAACAGAATTTTAGAAATATCTGTAAATTTATTAAAAAGAAAAAACTGCAATATCACATTGGCATAAGTATTTAGACCCTTCACTCAGTACTTTGTTGAAGTAGTTTGGGCAGCAATTAGAGCCTCGAGGCTTTTTGGGTATGATGTGACAAGCTTTGCACATCTGGATTGGGGGATTTTCTGCCATTCTTCCTTGCAAATCCTCTCAAGCTCAGTCAAGTTGGATGGCGACCCTCAGTGGATAGTCATTTTCAGGTCTCTCCAGAGATGGTCAATAGAGTTCAAGTCAGGGCTCTGGCTGGGCCACTCTAGGACATTCACAGAATAGTAATGATGATGATGATGATGTTGGAAGGGACCTTGGAGGTCATCTAGTCCAGCGGTTCTCAACCTATGGGTCGTGACCCCATTTGGGGTCGATCGACCATTTCACGGGGTCGCCAAACCCCGCTGTCCGTCATTTTTTTCCCTTTTCTAACTGTTCTACTTCCTTATTTGGCTATATAGAAAGTGCCGTTCCTGCCTCCCTCCTCTTTGCGCATGCGCAGCTTTTTTCTATTTAAAGTTAGGAAGTTTCGGTTTCAGAGCACGTGGAGGAAAGCAATACAGAGGACAAGCGAGAGAGAGCAAGCAGCGGAAAGCAAGAGAGAAAACAACTAAAAACAGTAAGTTTCCTCTCTGGCCTGCCGCTGAGCTTCCTCTGCTTGGCAGAGGAATATATGTACTGTATTTTCCGGCGTATACGGGTACTCTCTAATTATTTCAGTGGAGTTTAAGTTTGTAGTTCGTTTTGTTAAAGTTAAATAAATGAATCAAAAATCCTTGCATACTTATCTCTCTAAGCGTCAAGGATCGCAAAGCAACATGAGCCCCAAATTACTTTTGTGCATCAATTTCTCACTATTTCCCATTGTGCCAAGGCAAGGTTTTTTTTTTTTATTGTATCGTAGAAATCCCCTCATTTTTCCTGCTGCCCAGCCGCTTCTCTCTTTGTTCCGGCCTCTCCCCTCGTCGCCTGCTGCGCTCTCCAGACTACTGTTTTGGGCTCGTCTCGCCACCACCCCCTCCCTCACTTCTGAGTGCCACCTCCGCCTCCGGAGCCGACCCTCCCCTCTGCCCGCTGCCCTGGTCAAGTCCCTTCGTGCGCTCCACTCACCACTCGCTTCTGTCCATTCAGGGCTGTTTGCACTCTGCTCCTCGTAGCCACCGATGCCGCCTCCTCGCCATGTCCCAGCGCGGCGCTCCTGCTGGTGCGCGCTCCACTCCCCGCTCGGCTTTAGGTGCCCTCCATCCCCGAGGCGCACGCCAAACGCACCACAAGGATCGAGTCTCTCGAGCTCAACCTACCAGCAGGAGCGCCACGCTGGGACATGGTGAGGCGGCGGCAGCTATGAGGAGCAGAGCGCAAACAGCGCTGAATGGAGAGAAACACTTCTCTCCATTCAGCGCTGTTTGTGCTCTGCTCCTAGCCGCCGACACCGCCTCCTCACCATGTCCCAGCGCGGCGCTCCTGCTGGTAGGTCGAGCTCGAGAGACTCGATCCTTGTGGTGCGTTTGGCATGCGCCTCGGGGATGGAGGGCGCCTAAAGCCGGCCACGGAGTGAGGAAAGTGGGGTCGGGATGATCTGGAAGCTGAGGCAGGCAGGAGCCATGGAAGTGCAGTCGGTATCTGAGCCGTCGGTGGCAGTGGCAGCGGGGGCAGTGGCCCCCGGCACCAGTGCTCTCCCTTTGGAACCGGCAAAGGATACGGACCGCCAGCTGCGTCTTCGCCTCTGTGTCCTCAACCGAGCAGGATTACGTGGGCACCCTGCGCTTCCTGCAGTCGGTAAACACCGGGGCTCCGGAGGGTATGCCTGGACCCCAGAAAGGGGAGGGAGTCACTGGGGTGGGCGAAAGATTGTGTCAAGGAAGAGGAAGGGCAGCTGTGCATCTGCTGCGGCGATGGGACCCGCGGCGGCCACTTGGCGGCCAGGCCCACTCGGTAGCCACGCCCACTCGGTGGCCACACCCACTCGGTGGCCACGCCCCTGGGGTCACCACAACATGGGGAGCTGTATTATGGGGTCATGGCATTAGAAAGGTTGAGAACCACTGATCTAGTCGAACCCCTGCTCAGGCAGGAAACCCTATACCATTTGTCCCTAAGCTACTCCTGTGTTGTCTTGGTTATGTGCTTAGGATCATTGTCATGTTGGAAAGTGAACCTTTGGCCCAGTCTGAGGTCCTGAGTGCTGTGGAACAGGTTTTCATTGAGGATATTCCTGTACTTTGCACTATTCAGCTTTCCCTCAACCCTGACTAATCTCCCAGTCCCTGCAGCTGAAAAACACCCCCACAGCATGATGCTGCCACCACGATGCTTCACTGTTGGGATGATATTGGGCAGGTGATGAGCGATGCCTGGTTTTCTCCAGACATAATATTTAGAATTGAGGCCAAACAGTTCAATCTTTGTTTCATCAGATCAGAGAATCTTGTTCCTCATAGTCTGAGAGTACTTCAATTGCTTTTTTGCAAATTTGGGCTTTCATGAGTTTTGCACTGAGGAGAGGCTTCCATCTAGCCACTCTGCCATAAAATCCAGATCGGTGGAGGGCTGCAGTGATGGTTGTCCTTCTGGAACTCTATCCCATCTCCACACAGGATCTCTGGAGATCAGTCAGAGTGACTATCGGGTTCTTAGTCACCTCTCTTACTAAGGCCCTTCTCCCCTGATTGCTCAGTTTGACCGGGCGACCAGCTCTTGGAAGAGTCCTGGTTGTGCCAAACTTTTTCCATTTGAGAATTATGGAGCCACTGTGCTTGTAGGAACCTTCAGTGCAACAGAAATTTTATTATAGAGTTCCCCTGATCCATACCTTGCAATAATCCTCTCTCTGAGCTCTACAGGCAATTCCTTTGACCTCATGGCTTTTGCTCTGCTACAGTATGCATTGTCAGGTTTAAGGGCTTCTATAGAGAGGTGTGTGCCTTTCCAAATCATGTCCAATCAATTTAATTTGCCACAAGCGGACTCCAATCAAGATGTAGAAACAAGAGAAATGGGAGCACCTGAACTAAGTTTCAAGTGTTTTGCAAAGCGTCTGAATACTTATGCCAATGTGATATTTCAGGGTTTTTTTTCTTTTTAATAAAAATTTACAGATGTTTCTAAAATTCTGTATCCACTTTCTCATTATGGGGTACTGAGTGTAGATTGATAAGAAAAAAATGAATTTCAACAATTATAGAATCAAAAGTGAAGGGAGTCTGAAAACTTTCTGAATGCCCTGTATATTGATTATTATATCACAAGATTATTATATCACAAACAAGAATTTATATATATAAATCTATTAAGTGGCATTTTTCTCTACTTTTTCACAAGATTATATCTTCAATCCTACATGTGTCTTAGAAAAGTTAAAGCTATATGATAGTTCCTGTTACATGCTTTCTGTTGAGTGCTTGGAGCAATCACTGCAATACTGAGAATCTGTCTTTGAGATAGGTATGGCAGTATCACCATTCACTTATACCATACCTTGAATTGTCTGGACCCTACTTCTGCCCTTCATTTTAATCAGCAGTACAGATAATATGCATTGATAATTGTTCTGGTTTATACCTTGTGGTGTGAAGATGCATTTATTTTGTAAGTATGAAAGGCAAAATAAAATGCCTAAATATGACAACAGTATCTTTCTACATGTTTTTGTTAGAATTGATTGATCTTTGAAATCTAGGAATCTCTCTCTCTCTCTCTCTCTCTCTCTCTCTCTCTCTCTCTCTCTATATATATATATATATATATATATATATATATATATATATATATATTTGTTTTCATATATATATATATATATATATATATATATATATATATATATATATATATATATAGGTCTTTGGTTGTTCGGGTTTTCTCCCGCGTAAAATTGGAAGTGTCTTGGCAACGTTTCGACGAAGTCACATTCGTCATCTTCAGGCTGGTGTTTTTAGCTTCTTGCTTTGAGCAGCAATGTGTGGCTTTAGCTGTTTCTTCCTTTTAACTGCCAGTGAGGGTATGAACTGATTGGATGGGAGCTTGGCTGTGTTCTGATTGGGTGGAGGTGTGTTCTGAATGGTTAGGGGGTTGGCTTCGTGCTTCGAGGAGCACGAAGCTGAAAGCACCAGCCTGAAGATGACGAATGGGACTTCGTCGAAATGTCACCAAGACACTTCCAATTTTACGTGGGAGAAAACCCGAACAACCAAAGACCTATACACACACACACACACACACACACACAATGCTTTAATTTTAGCAGTGCTGTAATCTCAGAACTCCATGCTCTGGGCAATTAGGGAGAAATTAGATAAACTTATTGAAATATGCATGATTCAGGATTATCATGCATTTTAAAATGCAACCAAATTTTTCCTAGATGGGTTCTATAAATCTACCTTGTAATAGCTGATCATCTGATGCTCTGAAGAAGAGGGTTGGCCTTCCCTTACTGATTTTGCCTATAAATTGCTTGAAATCGTGAAAGCAAGCATGTTTGAGCAACAGGGTAGTCATTTTTATGGAAGCACTTTCAAGGTTGATTTAATTTAAAAAATAGTTTTTGAAACTGACTCAGAAACTTATTTAACAGCAACAGCATAGATTGAGAGAGTATAATTAGTTTTATACTAAGAAAAACTATTATGTGCTGCAAGAGAGATCACTTTCTGTTAAGTATCATTTAAAAATAAATATTTTAAATTAAATTTTATTACTATAATTCTTCAGGATAAATTATAAGCAGATCTATCTTAAAAAATTGAAAATAAGCTCCCTATCAGTGTGAATGAGTGTTTCTGCGGTGCTGAGAACATCAAGGTAAAATTAAAGTGATTCCTCCGGGAAGCTAAAACTAGTGGTAGGCATTATTTTAAAAGGAAAAATAATTATAAACTGCTAACAGTTTTTTTTCACATTTTAGGATGCCTATATTTTCACTTTACAGTACAGTACATAGAAATTCCCAACCATTTGGCAAAAGTATAATTGGAAAGTTCAACCTAGTCAAAAGCATTAATTTCTAGAGAATACTACTACATGAACTTAATCTCTAATACATAGTACTGAATCTCTCCTGGTGGAGAAAACGATAAGAAAAATGAGATTGTTCTGCCTTGCAGATATTAAAGCATAAATGCATCATTCGGGTATTTGCAGAGCTATATACCCTTAAGTCTAGATGACAGCTGTTTGTGCACACATTAAAACTGATCACCTCAGTTTAGTGTAGAAAAAGACATTCTCTGGAAAACAAATGGGATAGTACTCAACATACCACAATATCTTTCTGGTGAACTGTGGAATTACTCCCTCTTCTGCACTGTCATAGACAAAAGCCAGCTACTTTTCTTTCACTCTTATTCCAAGGATATTGCACACATGCTAATATTGTTCCTTATATTTGTAAACAATCAATTTTAAATACACACACCATGCCACTTATCTGTTATGCAACAAGGAAACTATTTTAGTCTCAATAGTGGGACATTGTAATACATTCTGGGAGCAGAAAAGGGAAATTATCCACATAGTGGAACTCTCAAATATTAGTACCGTATATGCCGCCTATTAGGCGACCCGGCGTATAAGACGACCCCCGTCTTTATAGCCGGGCCGTATTCCTAGAACGTCGTCTTATACGCCGGAAACTACCAGTATTTCCGGCGTATAAGACGACTCGGCGTATAAGACGACCCCCGTCTTTGGCGCCGTTTTCAGCGCTCGCGGAAGTCGTCTTATACGCCAGCATTTACGGTATATTAAAAACTAAGAATTTGCTTTTATTTTGTTTAGTAGCATATACTGTATATTGATTAATCCAGCTCTTTTTGCTAGGAAAAACTATGCTTACTTTTGAAGTAAGAATTTACTTAGCTTTGTATTTAAGTTGCTAGATTACTGTAGGGTTTCAGACTTCATTGTTCATCACTATGTTACTCAATTATACAATCTCTCTTTTTTCAGACTGCCACCACAACTGCTCCTCCCCAACAGACAAGTACCCCTGCTGAGTCCCTCCAAGTGGACCTCCTGCCTGTTTTGGCTGCAGCACAAGAAACAGCAGCTGCAGCTGCTGTGGTTGCTGCTGCCACTGCTTCTGCACCAGCTGCTTCCACAGTAGATACAGCTGCCTTGAAACAGCAGCAGCCTTCTGCCTCCGAAGGTGGGAGTGGGCAGGTAGTGCCACCTACTCAGACCACGCAAGCCCCTACCCCCCAGGCAGCTCCTGCCAACCCACAGGCAGTTGAGGCCCAGAAGAAACCGAAGAGTAAAGGGCCCTACATTTGCTCCCTGTGTGCTAAAGAATTCAAGAATGGCTACAACCTGCGGCGCCATGAAGCTATACATACAGGAGCAAAAGCTTCTCGTGCTGGACCCACAACCATGAAGATGCCCACTATGGTTCCCCTCAGCTTGCTTAGTGTTTCTGCCATTGGTGGTACAGCCCCAGCAACACCTGCCCCTGCTGAGGGTACTGGAAACACAGCAGGGTCAGGTGCAGGCCTAGTGACCACTACAGCATCAGGCAAACGTATCCGGAAGAACCATGCTTGTGAGATGTGTGGGAAAGCCTTCCGGGATGTCTACCATCTCAATCGGCATAAGTTGTCACATTCAGATGAGAAGCCCTACCAATGTCCTGTCTGCCAGCAACGGTTCAAACGGAAGGACCGCATGAGCTATCATGTCCGTTCACATGATGGTGCTGTGCACAAGCCGTACATCTGCAGCCACTGTGGGAAGAGTTTCTCTCGGTATGAGGGAGTTGAGGGTTCAGGGAGGATGCAGTTCATATGGGAATTTTTAAAGTCCTTGCACAAGAAATTTGAGAAAAATATTTCCACTTTTTGGTAAAGACTAAAATACACATGCAACATACCAAACTGACTTAGGAAGGCATAATAATATGGGAGTGCAAGTTCCCAAATCATCTAGAGAGGTCTGTGGGCCAGATCAGGCCCTCCTCCTTTATTAACTTCCCCAGATCTCTTTAATACATTGACATAACATTCTAAAAGACACTGGTAGACACTTAGTTCTATGTGTCTCCATAATAGTCAACTCCTTAGGAAATCTGCTTTCTTTTCATCATTAACCTTAGCAACAATTTCATTATTCTATATAAATTCCAGCTGAGAGAAAAATAGTGAACAAATGTCAGAACATATTTCTCTTTAGTGTGGCTACAGGTGACAATGTGCAACCTTAACTTGAAAGCTTCCCAATTCTTTCCATAGTTCCGTTAGATTCTGACATCAAAGAATCTCTGAGGCAGTTTTCTGATTATTATGTGCATCAGATACCGAAAATGAATTGAGATATCTTGGCAGACTAAGAATTAAATTTGAAATCTCAAAAAACCAAAGATCTATTGAATTTAAAAATAAATGGGAAAAAAACATTTTAATCTCATTCCAATGCATACTCATTTTGATATTGCCTGTGAAATTACCTCGTCAGGTTGATAACAGTCTGAAACAATTCTTCAAAGACATTCTAAAAAACTTGCTCTTTAGGTAGTAGATGACTTAAAATTTCTCCATATAAAGAAGTCCATACTAAGACAATGTTACGTGAAGTGGGGGGGGGGACAATTTAAAATTTATCATTGCTAGCATACTACATTTGGGGAGATCTTTGTTTTTAACTCTGAATTGCACGTTAACATGGAATGCCTTACATTTTCCTCAAAATAACAGACTGAAAAGATTCCAGGCTGTCTGATTTTTACATATTAGAAAATATTCTTGGATCAAGCAGCAACCATGTGGTCAGTTTGTGGGAAAAGAAAATACCACATTTTCAGAACTAAAACCTTGCAAGAGTATCAAGTAATGACATTATGATACTGTATTGGCAACAAGCTTATAAATATTTGTCAATGTGCTGTGGTTAAAAGTTTTAAATATTTTGGCACTCCAGGATATTTCAACAAACATCTGCACAGAAGAAATAGAACTATAAAATAGCAAGAGTCTGGAATACCTTGGACTAATATATTGAAACTGCTTAATTTAGGACATAGATTGTAAGAAAAATAAATTATTTAAAACTGGCATGAACAGAAGTGAGAAATCTCAAATGGTAGTCAGTGCACAATTTCTTCAGTTCAAAATTTGAACTGAAAAAGCACTGAAGATCCAGGATTCAAAACAGACACAAGCAGGGAAAGGGAAATTGGGATTTTGAACAGGTTTAAGATTTTGCCTCTAAAGTGTTTGGTTGTTAAAATCACTCCAAAATATACCAAAGAAGTCAATTTTGATCCTGCATACTCTGGAGGCCACCAGATAGATGCTGATGAGATGCATATGGCTTATGAATTACACCTTTTTACATCCTTGTCCTAAAGGCAAGTTCCAAAGAATAAAGATTTGTGTTCTGCTTTAGAAATGCAAAAAAGCTTACCAGGTTGGTGATTTTGAGACATTCCCACAAACTTTGAATTAAAAAAATACACAGGAAAAATTGTTCCATCTGATAATCTTAGCAAATAAAATTAAAGAGTTATGTTGCTTTCACTTGCCTACTAACAGGGATATTAAATTTTTCTGGCTGTTTTGTTAAAAAAAACTTGAATAAAAGTTGCACCTTGTATGTGGAAGGCAAGGAAAAAATGGATAATAGCAATCAAAGGTTGCCTGTACTCAAGAAACTCTTCCTTGGTTTCTATTTGCTGCCCTCACCCCACTATGGAAGCCATGTGCTTGCTTTTTAAATATATTTTAATATTTACAATATATTCATATTCTGCAAATGCCAAGCATTTGTAATTTTGCATCCCAAATAAATTGCCAGGTTGTTCAATTATTATATTTTACTTAAGGAAAGCTTATAAAAAGAACAATTAATAGTTATAAACTGTTTTATAAAAGGAATTGATTCTTTTGGATTCAAAAACACAAGATATCTTCACTATTTTTAAACATCCACTTTATAATAATTAAAAACGTCTATTAGAAAAGTCTGATACTTTTGGTACTTGCTGGTTTAGAATGATTTAAAGATAGTCCTCCTTTAGCAATCACAATTGGAACTGGCAATTAGTCATTAAGGGATGGAGTCACTAAGTGAAACTGCAACTGTGCTTATGATCTTATTTCAGTTTTCCTTTGCTTTACAAACCTGTGAAGGCTATAAATGTTTGAACTGGTTAAGTTACTTTTTCATTACTGTGATAATTGCAAATGGTCGCTAAATAAGACTCATTGAATTCAAAATACAAGTATAGTCTGAAGCAAAAGAAATTGCATAAGACAGGATTTACCACTGTCTGCAATAAATCCCTTCTGCCTGCTTTTATTTAATAGTTATAGCAGACGCTACTTGAATCTATTTACAAATTGTTCCCATTATTATGAATGCTAGAAGCAAAATCTCCTTACAGAAATTAATTCCAATTAAACTAAGTGTAGTTAAACAGTCTCATTTTTAAGAGTAAATGTTCTGACACGTGAAAACCATAATGTCACATCCAGGATTCTAATTTCCAAACTTGCTCAATATGAGTCTTCCATAAGTCCAACAGATCAATTCCTTATGAATTGTTCAGCATGTAATCATCTAAATTCTCATTAGTTAATTATTTAAAGTGTCAAACATGTATTTTCCACCAGTAGTGGTATGTATTGTGCATATGAGAATTTCCAGAGTGGAACTAAAATTCTGAAGGCTTTTCCTTTTGCAGCAGTTAAGTGTACATGATTCTTCCCAGTTTTTAAAAAAATATAAAATCTACTACAAAATAAATTTATCACTGTTACTCCAGTCTTCCCCCAAATATAAAATGTAGGATTCCTCAACACAAGCTTTTTTTGGTGGATAAGTAGAATCACTCCAAACCCATTTAGAGAATAAGATAAATCACTTTTCATCTTACTTTTTTCCTTTCCTCTCACAGGCCAGATCATTTGAACAGCCATGTTCGACAAGTCCATTCAACAGAGAGACCCTTCAAATGTGAGGTATTTTTTCTCCATTGATAACAGTGTTCTATTTATTTATGCTCAAGTGTTCTGGGCAATCTTCCTGATGCAACAGGGAACAAAGGTGACCTCCACCTTAAGAAAACCTTATACACACTTTAATTTTTAGCTGTTAAATGCATTGAGCAATGGACCAATGGATATAACATTCATTCATATGATTCCTTTGCTTCTATTTTTACAGACTTGTGAAGCAGCTTTTGCCACGAAGGATCGACTACGTGCTCACACAGTCCGTCATGAGGAAAAGGTGCCATGTCATGTGTGTGGAAAGATGCTGAGTGCTGCCTATATCACAGACCATATGAAAGTACACAGCCAAGGGCCGAATCATGTCTGTGAACTGTGCAACAAAGGTAAGAGAATAGGGCTCAGATGGGTAATATTTGAACTTAACTGTAAATATAAATACTGTATTACTCTTTTTGAAATGTGCTAAGAGGCCCTGTATGCAAATGTGTGCTGGTTTTTTTAGATTTCATTCAATTTCACTGAAATTTAATCCCAGGTAAATTAATTTAGTTTTTCAAGCTTTTCACTTATACTCTTTCTTTCAGGAATGTCTCAATCATAAATCTCTTCATTCTTGACTAACCTGTTTGAAGGTAAATTTAAGTTCAACTTTGTTTCTGGGTACTATTCCCAGCCTCAGCCCCCACCCCAATTTAATCTCTGTTCCGGATATTACTTTCCCTTTTTTGTGGGGGTGGGGTATCTTCAAGTCAGTTTCAACTTCTGGCAACTGTCTGAGCAAGTTATTTCAGTTAGTGGGTTGCCATTGTCTTCTTCCTAGAGCTGAGGGAGAATGACCGGCTTAAGTAACCTCATTGGCTTCATAACCCTAATGCAGTACTAGGATTAGTTTCCTAGTTTCTAGCCTATTTGAATATTATTAATTTTCCATAAAAAATTTAAAAAACTGCATAATTTCCATCAACTAGAATACAGGTAAATAGCTTTGTATAAGTGACTCAGGCCTTATGGAAAGGATATTAAAAACCTTTAAAAATGGAACCAAATTTGCTGTCCATGAGCAATTGTGCAAAAATGCAGATGAGGCCTGTTAAGATTATCCATAATATACCTTGGAAATTGTGAACTAAACTTTCTTAATACACAACTGTTAATCAGGCTGCCAATTTATATTTGTTTACAATAAGCAAACTGCCTGGCAATACAAACGGTTCCCAGTATTTCTTTCTCCCATTTATGAATCAAAGCATTTCCTTAGTTTCATTTTGTAGGACACTGAAGAGATTTATAGTATGCAGTATAAGTGAAAGATTATGCTTCTTATTTCTATGGATATTGTCCAATAAATTGATAGACATGTACAAGAAATAATTTTAAGAATGATTGAAAGGCATCTGCAGTGGATGTGTCTGTTTCCACCCTATCCATCTGATAGATCAGTATCCCAAATGATCTTGACAATGCAATAGCCTTAATACATTAATTAAAATTATTGGACAATATGCAAATTAAAAATTGTGGAATTTTTAAAAGTTTAACAGTGCTTTTAATATATCTCCTGGATTACATTTTTGATTGATGTATGTTATCCATATATTAATAATATATGTTCATATATCTGGAATCTTGGAAACATAAAATAGCAGTTAATTATTTTTTTTATTCAGTTTTGGCTCTGAAGTTTGTACTGAATTAAATAATAGAAATACAACATTATAAATCTCTTGTAGGGGGGATTCTACTAACATTCCCTTACCAAAATGTCTCTGTTGAAGGTTTGATGATTTTATGTCAAGAGGTTTAGGTTATTTGTACTATATTGATTTCCTTAGTAGCACGATGCAGCTGCCCTTAGGGTGGGATGTGCTGTTTGTACAGTAATAACTTGCTTGGTGGCAAGAAACAGCTGTCTTTGGGATGAGAAGCTGTCTCTGAAATTAGGGAAGCTTGTTGCAATAGATCCTTCACTAAGTTTCAAGACACAGCCACCTCTAAGGTGAAGCACAGCCAAGCATTGCAGGACACCGGGTTAACGCTTTCACTAGGCCGGACACTGACCTGGCTGGTTTTTGTCCTTCTCCCCCTCCCGTAGGGTTCACCACAGCGGCCTACCTCAGGGTCCACGCGGTCAAGGACCATGGACTAGCCGCCCCGCGGCTGGAGCGTTTCCTTTGCAAGCTGTGTGGCGTGCACTGCAAGACCCCAGCTCAGCTCAACGGGCATCTGCAGACGCACGCAGGAGAAGGGGCTGCGGCCACTGAGGGCCAACCGCTGCGGTGAAACACTGGCCGGGCCACCAGGCAAGAGCCGCTTCCTTCTGTCCTGGGAAGGGGGAGGGGAGGCCCATTTTTCCCCTAGGGTTGTTTAGGCATCCTTATATTTTCAGTGAGAAAAGGGAGAATCCCAGCTCCCTGGGGCAGCTGCATCCTAACTTAGCATCTCTTTGCCAGTTTAAAGTGCTGCGAATAGCAGTATCTGACTAGTGTGATTTGACTGATCTTCCTGCAGGTTCATCTTCAGGATTTGAGTTCTAGTTTTTAAAAAGCCATACACAGTCCATTGAGTGTTGTATTTATCTGAATATTTTTCTATGGGATTTTGGTGTTTTTTTTTTAAATGTTAAAACCAGGAGGGTTGGGGATATCAACAAATACCTTTATGTTATCAGCAGATACAAATCCATTGGTAAGTGTTTTAGCTTCTTTTTGTCTTTACAGATGGTTGCTTGCATTATGCATCCTGGACAGATCCATTTTATTTTATATTGTACTCTACAGTTTCCTAATCCAGGCATTTAAGCGATAAACTGAGTTTCCATATTGTCTTCAGGAGGAGGCTTAACAGTTAGTGCCAGCCTATTTAATTAGCACACACAGACTTAAAATACTTAATCTGTTCAGCTTTTTAGAGAGAAATTCTACCAGTCTGTGGCTAAATAGGGTATTTTGGAGAAGGGACAGCTTCATCTCTTCTTCACCTCATTAAACCAGATTATTAAACCTGAACTAGTTTAAGATAATAAGAGGATATAGGAAGCAAGTTGAAAGCTTGGGCTAATAACAGTAAGAGTTTGGGTATGAACATTCTGACTTTCTATTTCTCTTCCTCCACAGGTACGGGTGAGGTCTGCCCCCTCGCTGCAGCCGTCTCAGCTCCACCTCCAGCCGCCGTCACGGTGCTGCCCATGGAGGGAGCTTCGGTTGTGAGCCAAGCCCTCCCCACACAGCCCTGGTGATTTCTGGGAGTGGGGAGACAGAAGCCAACCCTCCCAGTCCCGTCCCTCTCCCTCATTGGCAGCTGGAGCCTTCAAGCCCAGATGGATAGTCATTGGCCATATATGGGTTTCTAATGTAATGGCAGTTTCATTCATTCTCTTCCCCTGCCTGTGCTCATAAAATAGTGGAGCTGGGAAAGCATCTGCTCAGCCAATGAAGCAACTCTTATTCAGAGGGCCATGAAAGGACTTCGTGGATTTTGAGAGCACCCTCATTTTATTGACTCCCTTACTCTATTACTATTAACTTGTGGCTCTCAGAACAGTCCTGGAAATACATTCATTTCTGTTGTCCATGGTCTAAGCCAAATAATGATAATCTTTATCAAAGTAGATCTTGCTTATTCCAGCAATGCCCCCTGTTGCCCCCAAATGAACTATACAAAAAGAGTGAGACAATGAGACAGAATGACTTAGTAAGCTCAGCTCACAGACCAAGGGGGATTGAAGACTGGAATAGTTGTGGGATGTAGTATAAGCAACATTGCAGGAGAAGGAGTACTGAGTTAGAAATAATGGGTTGGTTGAGGGATTGACAAAACTTGGGGAACCTACAGAGAAGTTAGAAGGGGGTGCAGGTTGGGATTTCACAGCATGTTGGGTGCCTTGTGCTCATGGCTGAGGTTGTGGGGGCTGCAGTGAGATGAGATGGAGAAGGGCTGTACTTCTTTCTCCGTGGCTTCAGTGTGGAGTGTTCTCCATTTCCGTGCTGAGAATCTGCTCTGAATTCCCCTCCTTGCCCAGCGCCTCATTCTTCCATGGTGTCTTTTAATGCTCCATTTCCTCAGCTTCTCTTGTGATTTGTGTTCCAAGCGCATCAGCCCTTCGCACCAAGCATTGATGCCCCACCTGCTGAACACCTCCCTTGTTGCATGCAACCCCCACAGTTCGGGGTTAGAGTCTCTCGCTTTTTTGTATTATATATATTAAAAAAAATCCCCTGACATTTAAAATAACCCTCCTTTGTGGGTTTTTTTGTTGTTAACACAAATGTAATGAAGCTGTGTCTACCTATATCCACTCTCCCTGTTCCTTCTCTTATAAGCTCCTCCCCCTCCCCATCCTTTCCTCTTCTGTGAGCCCTTTCTGGATCTGTGTCTCAGCAGCAAAAGATTTTAGTAAAACAATTGAAGGGAAAAAATCCACACTTGTGTCTATTTATTGTCAGATTATTTTGGTATCACTTTGGGGGGGGGAAGTATCCTAGTTCCTGGCTTCTCTTGCACCTCCTTTTATCATCATATTATCTTGGGACCTTTCATATGTATTTAAAATGTGTAATGGATCAAACATCAGGTTGCATATCTCCATTCTAAGTGAGTTCCTAAACCACTTCCTTATTTCTTCCAATTACTCATGGGGGTGGCTTTCTGGGTTATGGCTTAGTGGGTATAGCCTTCTTTATAGGAGAAAGAGCAATTCTGAATGTTTTGGAGCCAGAAATTGTGGTGTAATGCAGTTGCTGTGCCCTGGCAAGCCATTAAATGCTGCACTGGAGCTCTGCTGTGGTTAGAGTTAATTTGTGGACTCTTTTCGTCCTCCCTCTTGCAGCAGCCTGGGCAGCTTATAAATAATTGATGAAAGACTGGAACCGAGAGATTTTATATAATTTTCTCCTGAGGAAGCAGGATTCCCCTAAAACATTTTCTGCATCAAACTCCTGCATCAGCTTGCTGAGCTAATTTGGATCCGAAACATAATTAGTCTGGTTTCTCCCATCTTTCTTAGGCTGGTATTTCAGTTTTACACCCTTGATGGGGCTTTCAGTTCTTGCTAATTTGGCCAGGTTTTGATTTGCAGTGGGTAGTCCCAGAGGAAATGGTGTCAATTGTTCTAGAACTCTAGTTCTTTGATACTCTGCACTTGTAGCTTGTCAATGTGAAGTTTTTATCATTGGCAATGAAAGACAGGTGGAAAAAAATCCGGGAATATATGGGACTTTCCAGCAACAGCACCATCTCTGCTAATCTCTTGCCCCTGCCAGATCAGCTGATTCTTCATAAAACTCAAACCACAACTACTCCCCCCACAGCTTGCATTGAAGAAGTAGGGTCGATGAGACCGTTTGACGTGCACCAGTGCAAAGGGAGGGGAAGGGGCGTCCTTGCAGACAAAGCTGCCGAGCGAGCAAGTAAGAGGAGTGGGTGTGGGGGGAGGGAGGGAAGGGGGGCGGAGGCTGCATTTTTTGTATCTACAGTAGCCTCTTGTCCATGGAAGGGGAGAACGGAGGGTTACAGCAGTAAGAGGGAGGGGTGCGATGTGTGAGTAAGGGGGGCATCCAACCTTCTAGCGCTCTGTTCACCCCACCTCAACACCTTCTGTCAACCGGACGTAGCCAGAAGCACAGGTAGGAGAACTGGAGACGTTGCTTGGGTCCAGCCTTTCTTCCACACACACACACACCCGCCACCCCAAACCTCATCTCTATAACGGGAGACCGGTTGTTGCTGCGGCAAGCGGGCGGGGGAGACCAAAAAGACCGACGTGAGCTGGGTGTGGGTGAGAGGAGTGCGGCACTCGGTGGTAGATGAAGGGGCGTCCTGCTCCTGGGGGCATCAGGCTGTGGAAATGTGTCGGGATGCGAAATAAGGGTGGGGGCAGTCAGGAATGCTGGGTGGGCGTGGATCCCATCCTTGGCTGAGGTTCCCTCTGGAGACCGGGAAGACTGAGCAGCAGGTATAAGGGCGGGGGGAGTGCGTGGGAGGAAGGAGTTGAAAGAGGAAAGTGGTGGGTTGGTGGAGGCGAGGAGACATCGGCGACGAGAGGCGATTCGGCTGCATGTGTGTGTGTGTGTGCGCGTGCCGCCCGCCCGCCTGCCCGGCGACATGGCTGGGCGGGGGGAGGGTTTTGGCCCTCTTTGCTCCAAGATGGGTGTAAACTAGGGTTGTGGGAAGAGAGTGTGCGATGAAGTTGGAAACAGATGAAGAGAGGGCTCGGCAATGAAGGCTTTTGACTGAGTTATGGTTCTTCCATATAACGTACCCTACCTTGAAAAGGGAGAAAGCGAAGGCTGGGACACGGAGCAAAGCAAGGATCCTATGCGCGCTTAGTCGCGTGTGTAGAGCAGAGAGGGGTAGGGTGACATCAGGGCTTTCTGAAGGCAGCAAAGTGGGGAGGGTAGCGAATGGCCTGTAGATCGGAGGAGGGAGCGAGGGATCAACTTGGAGGGGAGGATGAGTTGAGCAGAAAGAAGAGCAGAGGAAGCTGGGCGGCGGGGATTGGCGGCGGAAAGTAAGCGGTTCCTAAGGAGCTGTCCATGGTAAAAGCCAGATCTGGGAGAGGGTTGAATGGCGGAGAAGAAACGCGTGTAAGCAAAGGGTTTGTGGAAGTGAGTTCACCCTCAAGAGCAGATGGGGAGTGTGGGGGAGAAGGGAAACAGCCGATTCAAGCGATTTGGGTGCCTGGATGATGTTGAGTGATCTGAGATATGTACAATCCCCAGGTAATGGTTATGGTTGAGAGAGAAGACAGAGGTCAAGACAGAGGAAACAGAAAATCAAGGTGGTTATTGGAAATATATCCATAAAGAGAAAGGAATCAATACAAGCCATTCAATCCTCTTTAGACAAGAAGGCTTCCAGTCAGTGGAGGAGTAGAGAAAAAGGCATCTGCTTAGAATGGAAAGCATGTACACAGGTTGGACTCGCACCAGCCCCAACCAACCCAGCCAAGAGAGAATGGGAGTGGGGGAGAAGATATTGAGGACCATAAGTCCCATCTTTGTGTCAGGTGTTTTTTGTAATAAGGAGAAGCTGTGCTTTTCCTGTGCTGTGACTCTACTACCTGTTCTCCATCCCAGATGATAAAAATTAATCTGGTTTTAGAAAACTTGCATAACTTAATGCTCAGATATTTTCTATTCCTTGTGTAAGAGAGAGACCTGCTGAAATTCCATCTGCTTTTAATTCTTTCCATGAAATAATGTGGCTTTATTGTTAGGAATCTCTTTGCAAGCTTGAGTTATGGTTGCCTCAGAGAATAAAACAGATGAATTCAAAATATATAGAACGGCATCAGATTAAAAGAGAGAAGATGATTGAAAATACCAAGATTTGGGGCTGGGCATGTCTTTTATCCTTTCAGCCTCAGCAACTTTTAAGATGCATGGATTTCAACTCCCATAATTCCCCAGTCAGCTTTGTCAGACGAAGATGGAGGCATTGACAAAGATTTTTTTTCCCTTGAGATTACTCTTTTGCCTTTTGATGAGCAGTCAAAAAGTTTAGAGAATCAAATCAGATTTTTTTTTCTATGAATGTGTGTAAATAATGGAAAGAGACACTTGTACCACCAGGCCATGTGCCACAAATGTGTGCCAGCTAATTAATACAAAATAACGGGTTAGCACTTGTTTTGTATGTGCTGGTGATGCTGCTCATAAGACTATTGGTAAGTCAGTATGCCTTTTTATGCACAAGGGATTTCCCTATAAGGGTTTTCTCTAAGGGAGAATTGTGTCCATCAGAAAATCAGTTACGGCATTCATGTACCAGCATCAGAAGTTGGTGATTGTATGTTAATTATATAGCATGTCAGAAAAAAACGGGAGTGTGCCATCTGGAGACATATGCTATATAATTACTTGCTGTAACAATAATGGTTATTTTTCTAGCTTGTTTATAAAAGGGTGTGCTTGTATGCATACGGAGATAAAGCATAAAATACCAAGTTGTAAATACAGGAGCACATACTCGTTGACAAAATTACTTTTCTAGTGTTGAATTCAGAAATAAACCTGACTGAGTTCTGTTGGATCCATTTCCAGGTAGGTGTGTATACAGCCTTTCCCTATCTTGGCATCCTCTAGATGTGTGCGGACTGCAGCATTCAGAATTTCCAAGTGGAATTTTTTTGGGCATCAAGAGAGATTGAACAGGATGTGTCGAAACTCTCTCACATTAGCTGAAACATCACTTGGGCCACATGCTGCATTAAGCCATAGGATGTTTTATTTTGTGGAATGTATTTTGTTCATGAGCAATTGTGGTTTTATGACTTAGCGTCTTGTGCAAACCTAGACAATGTAATACACTGTGGTTAACCAAACCTAGTTAAGTCTAGTATTTAAACTAAATTCTGAGTTTAAGATGACTTAAGGATGACATTAACAGCAGCCTGTAACAGCCTCATCCCTCCAGAATTCATTGTTAACTTGCAGTTCATGTATTCTGTATTGGATCAACATCTGATTTGTATTCCTCATCTCTTGCCCAGTTAGCTATGGCTCTGTAACACAGTACTTTCCCTCTCTGTTTTGATTAGGTGTAAACTGCCCTTTATAATTCCTGATTATCTGAGTCAATCTTTGCTACACCCCCTATTATGAATCTTGAAAGAAGAGTCTGGGGACAAAAAATTTGGAATCCAATAGTACTTTTTCCAATTAACAAACATATTAAAAGGCGAAATGAATAATAAAAGAGCCCCTTTGCTCTACTGGTTAAGACACCTGGCTAGAAACTGGGAGACGGTGAGTTCTACTCCTGCCTAATGCATGAAAGCTGACTGGATGACTTCGGGCCAATCACCAGAGACTGAGAGTTCTAGTCCCACCTTAGGCATGTGATTTTGGACCAGTCACTCTTTTTCAGCCCTACCCGCCTCATAGGGTTGTTGTTGTGGAGCAAGTAGGAGGAGGAAGGAATATTAGATATGTTCACCACCTTGAGTTATTTATAAAAAAGAATAATAAAGGTGGGGTTAAAAAAAATCTAAATTTTGGATGAAGCTTATACCCTTTCATACAATTTTTAGTCAGAAAAAAATGTACCAGATTCCAGATGTTTTACATTGTTGGTCATTTGACTCAATGAGTTCATCTCTTTTGAATTAATATATTCTGCAATAGATTTACAAGGCAATAACTCAAGCTAAGTAGATTTGGCAAGGATGGCTAAATCCATCCAACTTTATTCCTGTTTGCTTCTCATTTTCAATTGTTTATTTCTGTCCCACTTCTAGACCACTTTGAGCTTAGAAAAACCTGAAGAGGCATAGTCTCTTTTTTTTTTCTAATCTGCACTTTTTTGCATACAATTTTGCCTTAGGCATACTTTTTCAAAGAATCCTTTTCTTGCATAATACATGTCTCTATATTATTTTTATCAGTACCCTTTTATGAACTCTTTCCTTTTATTTATACATTTTGACATCTTTAAAACTTTACAATCGCAATTTTTTTTACAAACAAATTTTGTTTGCACTTTGGTTTGAAACTAAATTTGCACTGAAAGATGAACTGATGTCTCATTTATCCCTTGGACTGAATATGCTTAGAGACTGGGTGACTATTATTTTAAGTTACTGAATGAAGACCCATTTTATGTATAATTAATAATATGTACCATTGAATTTCCACATATTTCTCTGAATAATAGCTCCTAATCTTGATTTATAGTTAACTATTTTATGTAAGATAAGAATCAGTTTTGGTGTTGTAGGCTTAATGTCTGGCAGTTCTTGGGGAAAATATCCCAACAGTTATATCTTGTTTATATTTCTTTATTTAATAGCTGCCTAAAGTGTTTATATAACTTCAGATGGTTTTATTATTTTAAAAACAATACGCATATGCCAATAATGAAATATTAAGTAGATATAAAGATGGAAAATAGGCAATCATGTATCAAGAACAGGGCTAACAAGAATTAAAAAGTGATAATGAGGGTCACGTTCTGCAAATTCTTAACTCATTTTTGAAAAGACGTTTGAAAAAAAAGCTAGTTGTGCCATCTAAAGAGTTTCTTCCAATTAAAAACATTTGTTTCTACTGGAAGTGAAACAAACCACTTTGTAGGATCTGAAGAGGCAGGCTGGGGTGGAAGGGAAAATTACTTTATTGCAGAAGGATATTTTGTCCATGGATCATTTGAACTCTAGCAATTACAGAGTTAAGAGGGAGGATCCAGTATTGAACTGAGCTGAGAAACTAATCAGCAATTTATGCAGACTTCTCAAATGGATGATGGGCGAGACCATTAAATTGCTTCCATTAGCCTGCCACACTCCACCCTAGATGAAGTTCCTGAACTGCCTTTAGCTCCATAAAAAGTGCATTACAAACCCCCAATCTGAAGACACCAATGCAGGAATTATAGCAGTCTGCATGGCAGATGAGCATCAGTCAAATTT